TGCTGATTCAACTGTATTTTCTATAAGATTTTCAAACATCTCTTTTAGTTGCCATGGCCTCACATCTTTAAACTTTTTTTCTTATAGAGTAAAATTCTTATTTAAATTTCTTTTATTCAGACTTCAATACTTTTTGAAGCCTGAAGTTAAGCTTGGAGAAGCATTGACTATAATTAGTTGGAATAAGTTATGTTTCACGCAATATGAAAGAACATGGTCAGGAACACAAAGAATTTTTTTTAAATTTTTTATTGATCTTTTTTTTAAAAAAAAAAGAAAAGAAAGAAAGATATAAAAACTTACAGAAAAGAAAAGAACATGATGTGTGGCTGGTCAACAACCCAAACTCTCTCACACACACACCCACACACACACACTGTTTGAGTTTGTATCATATTGTGTGCAAGTCAAAGCCTTTAAATCTGTGCATGATGTAACTGCTGTCATGTGGAGAGTCTAAGGCACTGAAACTCCTTCCTCTTATTTCCACCTAATCCAGAGAAAAAAAAAGAAAAAAGAAGCTGCAAACAGGTGGCACACGATTCACTAAACAGAACCACGTTCTTTTTGGCTTCTAACACAAAACCACATGACTGATTCCACAAAACCATCAACCTACTGCGCTAAACATCAGCTTCTACTTGCACATAAAAAAAAAAGAAAAAAAAAAAAACTATAAGTAACGACTACACACCTTTCAGAAAATTTGCCCTTATTTCAGGCTTATGACAGCAGTGGACTCTAGAGCAAAACATGACTTTTAAAAAATATATTTTAAACTGAACATGTACATGGTACAAAAAGAGTTTTAAATGTTACAGTTTTAATAAAAACATCATTGCGTATTTTATGCTATTATCTTAAATCAATAATAAAATAACAAAGGGTATTAACATTTGTGTAAAAAAAAACAAAAAGAAAAACAGTCAGTGGAATTGAACAGTTCAGAACCATAAATTAACAGTAGTCTAATGCCACACACCGTTTTCATGTTCGTTATTAACAAGAATCAAGTCATTTCTTTAAGATACAATAAGCTGGATGTCATTAAAAGATAACAAACTTCAAGTCTTTCGCTGCTGAGAGCTTATGTGGTAAAAGATAATCTGCATCTGAGTATAAAACGGGAGGGAAACAGGTGGCAGGATGAGGAGACCATGTTGTGTAACAGACGGAGAAATTTTCCACGCTAAAACCGTTCTGGACTGTATGTTCTCCTACGGGCCAGCAGGGGGAGCTCTTACTTCAAAAATCCGCAACAATGACAAGGCATTTGCATAGCTCATCTTGACTTAATACAGCAGATGATGAAGAGCGAAGCTGGAATTTCAGGTCAGGGCAGGACAGGATGGGACAAGATACGCATTCCAGGCAGCATGGTAACTCTGTCATGATTGAGGGTGCGGTATGCCAGGCATGGGCTGTGATCAGGACTGCTGTGCAGTCTGAATAAAAGACCTGGGGATGTAAAACCCAAGTCATGGAAGAGAGATGTATTATATCCACCTTCAAGGACGTTCCAAGGACTTTCTCGAGTTATTTAAAGGAGGGGGAGTTTTTTGAGATGCCTACTCTCAAAGTTGAACTTTGAAACATAATCACCAGGGCTAGAAATGTTATGCTTAAGCTAGCCAAAATCTCAAACTGAATAATGTATACAAAAGGTATTCTTAATTTAAGCTATATATCTTTTTAATAAATATGCAGAAAGGGTAATTTTGGAGAAGTTGCTAATGAAAAAGTGAGCTAACGGCAGTTTGCTTCTAAATACCAATTAGTTGGAGAAAAAGTGCTGCCTGGGCAACTTCATAACTTAGCACTGCCATCACACTACTGGCTATTTACTTTTCATTTAAAGGGTGTAGGTAGAAGTGCTAGCTTTGGTAAATAACGTTTTAGAATTGCCTTTATATTTAACACTGTATGAAGCACAATTTGATCACCAGCTAAGTCAGGTTGTCACATATTTTCTCGACCTGTCAAAATTTTTTTTACATATTTTCACCAATGTGCAACAGTGACCCCAAAATAAGACTAGCCAGTCTATTGTAACACTGTTCAAACACTCCGCATGCGCAGTTAAAGACTCATTCATCTAAGGATGAAGAAAACTTGAAACCAAAAGTAAAACTGTAAGCATGACCTACATTCTGATTAACGCAGCTGATGCATATCAAAATCAGAAACAAACACACGACAGATTATACTTTTTAAATTATATATTAACTTTTCGTCAGTTATTTGAAAGCTAAGTTTAACTTCATGAATCAGATTGCTTGCTTCCAAATCATTAGAATCAACAAATCCCTTAAACAGAACTAATCTGACAGCATGAAGTAGGCTACAAAATCTTCTGAGGGATCACTCAGCTTCTGCTTAGTTCTGCAAAAAAAAAAAAAAAAAATTCAGGAAAATGCTAATTTGAATAAAAACTTAGTTTTGCTCCAGATGGGCCTGGTAGGTCAAGATCTTTTGACTGATTTGAAATATTAAAAAGCAACTTTGCTTGTGTTGGTGGGCTTTATTAGGAGGCAGGCGATATATATAAATAACACGTGGCACAGTCACTTGCTCACTATGGGTGAAAAGTAATGATAACTGACTTTATGAACCAATTTAAGTCACACAGTTTACATGATAAACAACAATGGGGAAGTAAAACCTCCAGTAACAAAAAAACAAAAACAAAAAACATTCGCAAAAATGACCGAAGTGTACGACTCGCACGACGCCATCTTTTGAAAACAACACAGTCCCTACACAACCAAAGGTAGCAGCTTAAATTAAATGAGAAAAAAAAACAACTAAAGTTTCATAAAATCTAATTTACTTTTTGAGAATGGATCTTCACAGTCATATGAAGTTTAGAAAATCTAGGAGAGGAACATGATAAATTCACATTCGTGTGTCCTAATGTCTATACGGACCCCGAATTATCGAAGGTGGCACAACATCAGAGCCCTTCCTGGATTGATCTGCAGCATAGATCCATCTGAAAACCTTTTCTTTTTTTTTAACTACAGGTTGAGAAATATGCCTGAACCTTTCCAATGCTTTGTCACATTAACAAGATACTTGAAAGGATTTTCTTGTGACTTTTTCCGGTAGTCCGCCGCAAAGTTCGAATCGTGAAGTAGAAGGAAAATAATAATTTGATTTTAAGTTTTAACAGAAAAAAAAAAAGAGTTAGTTATTCGTCAACTCTATTACTCTGAGTGCAACTGCTCTCATCACGTGCCACTTAATTATTAAACAGGGTCAACCTGTGGAGGACGGTGTTCTGGTCAAACAACACTATAATTTTAACTCTTTGGTCAACCTGAAAACTAGTGGAGACATACAGCTGTCAATACCAAAGTGTGTTTTTTTTTTTGTTTTTTGTTTGTTTTGTGGTATTTTTGGCAATTTAAAATACATATATGAAAAGCAAACTGAAAACCGTGTATCCTTTTCCATCCACTTTACAATTATGCTCTCCTTTCAATCATGTTTAAAAACAATTGCTTTTTGGGCTGTAATGTGAAAAAAAAGTCCAAGGCATATAAATTCTTTACTGTATGAACAGACGCAGCAGTTAGCAAGACTTTACCAACTTCTCCAGCTGGCAGTCCCTACAGCTACAGTTGAAAACAGCTGAAGGTTTAAAGTGCGACATCAGCTGACTGCATCACCTTTGTCTTACTTAAAATGACAGATGCCCTAAAAAACTTTTTTTTTTTTTTTTTTTTTAGAAATCAGCACTTTAACAGTCAAAAGTGTCATATTTTCTTTCCTGTCGGCACAGGAAAGGACTTTACTTTCATCGGTTTGACCAGTATTTTATTTTGAGAATACAGCAGTTAAAGGAAGACCTGCTAAAACGGCCTGATGCGCCTCAACTGCACACGTTGCAGATGCACAGTTGTGCTGTAGCCTGAGGTAAACTGGTGTGTGTGAGTGTGCACGCGAAGGAGGTTGCTGGGGGTGGGGAGGGGAGGAGGGGGAAGGTCATGATGACAACGCTAACATTTGCACTCTGGTCCGCTCCAGTGCACTAATTGCTCCGCAGCACCGACAGCCACCGAGGAGGCCGTGCGGAGGAGCAGAACACCTGCCGCCCTCCGGCTTCCATCGATCACACGCCTCTCAATATGCAACTTCTAACAGGGCCTGTCTGAAACTGCACTTTATCCACTCGAGTGTGCTTTGACCAACCTAATATCCGCTTGAAAACCCACCTAAGAGCTTTTACGTGCTTAAAAAAAAAAAAAAAAAGACGCCGACTTTCTATTTAGCACGCTTTAGCCAAAGTAAACCCTCTTATTAAGGACACATTAGGTGCCGATGGTTCGTTAACCGTTGGTAGGGGAGCGAGAGTACAGTCTTAAAGAGAGGGGATCATATGCACAGTAGCAGATCGCGCCCCTCCCCCTCACTAAGTGCTGCAGAGATGCGAGGGAATGTGTGTGTATGTGAGGATCTGAGCGTAAGAAGAGGAGGGGATGGGGAGAAGAAAGTGTGTGAGTGGAGGCGATTCCTACAGCTTAATGATGGTCGGAGATGAAACGGTACGGGAAATGGAGAAGACGGTGGTAAAGGTGTGGAGTAAGCTGGTAAAATCTGTTTGGCAGGAAGGAAGAGGTGGGGCTCCAACATGAGCAAATCTAAAGTTTCTTTTCATGTAAACTAAGCAAAGATTAAAGATCTGTCAAAGCTAAATCCCTCAGGGGGGATTTATATCTCCTCAATTTTCTTACAAAGCTCAAGGGCAGGCAGTGTTGTCAGACCGGGGCGAGGGGAGGAATTGAAGGCCTGTAGTTGTACAGCAGGGCAAGAAGCGGGGTTTCTCCAGGAGTCTCCCAGGGAAAGAAAAACGTGCTTCTCTTCACATGTGCCATGCTTATAGGGTTCGACAACCAGAGTGCAATGTGCTGCCACTGTACTGCCAGAGCCCCTCATGCAGAGTCCTGCATATAGATACATTTGGGTATGCACAAAAATACATAAAGATCTGGCTTTTTTTTGTGTGTGTGTACATACATTTCCATGTCATTTCTCTAAACCTGGACCAGCCAGAAGTAAGAGCAATCCTCCATGGCTTTGACCCTGAATCTAACACTGAGAGAACGAGAAGACCATAAAAATAGGTCAGGTTGTCTCTGTAGAAAAATAAAGGAATTTCCAAAGGCTGATTAATTGTCTTTGGCACTTCTGAGAAGACGGCACACATAAAGAATCCGACAATGAGTACAAAAGGCTAAACTAGAACTATAAAGTAAAGCACAAGTTCATCCGCATATAAGCCTGGCCATTCTGGGGTGGACCTGAGCCTGGATGGGGCCATATTCCACCACCTCTCCGTCCACGGTGATCATGCCCTGTTGTGAGACGGGCTCTAACCGCAGGGCCCTCACCTTTTCGTACACAAGGTGGGGGCAACCGCACGCTAAATGGGAACCCCTCTCCATGGCGAGGAAGAGACGCAAGAGGGCGGGGCGGGATATTCCCGCCGTCACGTAAAACAGATGAATCAGCCCGTCATCCGCCATCGCTCCCGGCACCGTCCACAGATCCTCCGCTAGGTGGGACTGGTAAATAGCCAGCACCAGAACAAAGTCTTCCTCATTGACCACCGTCCAGTTTTCAGGGACCGGCTGGTCCAGGCTGGGGAGGAGAGAATCCGTTGGTGACGCAGTCTTATTGTTGCCTTGCATCTCGGGCCTCATGTTGGTGATGACGCTGGAGGAGTTGGTGATGGAGTTTTGGTTCAGGTTCGTATCGACGCAGTTTTTCAGAGAGCTCTGCTTTGGCGAAGCTCTGGGAACGAGATGACAAGGAAGGGACGAACAGAGAGACGGCTGCTGAGGTGTGAACGGAGGACGCGTCGCCTTCACCCTTTCGTTTGGAGGTTTTGGTACCTCTTTAGCTGGCAGGTACGCTAACCTGCCCTGATATACTCTGAGCGAGGCCAGACGCACCAGGGTGCCCATCAGGAACCGTATAGCTCCAACGTGACGGTACTTCTCGCTCTCGATATCCACATCTGCCACAAAGCCCCAAGCCAAGGAGAGGAAGGAGAAGAGGCGCTGACTGGAGGCCAAATGGACCGACACCAAGTCAAGAGGACCAACCAGACCTTTGCACAGCATGAAGCCACAGCTCAGGAGCAGCTCCTCGTTCCAGGCAGGAGGCGATCTGTTGAATTGTCACAGAAAACAAGATAAGACAGAAAATACGGCAGCGCATTAAATAATGCAGCTTTTTGATGGAATACTTTCTTCTTTAACGATGCAAAAACTAAAGTAGGAGAGTCAAACTGAACATGTTATTGTAATAAAACTACTATCATGGCTAATACTGCAGTATTAGCCATGATGATAAATATATTTTCTGCTTATTAAAGTAAACTAATTATAAAACTAGGACTGCAATTCTCCTCCATCTAAGGCACAAATTCAACTGAGAGCCTAACATTGTTGGTAAATACTCAACATGTGCAGATGAAGCAGATTTTGTGTTTTGGAATGCTATTCAGTTTACACGGTGCAAGAACATATGAATCAGACGTTTTGCACAGAATAACTGCTCTCCTCCCAGATCACTTCAAAATTGAATCCTCGAATGTTTTAGACTTATTCCTAACCAGATGTTTTTTTTTATGACCTTGAAATAAGTGATCTTATTCTTTGGTCATTTACTGTGAGATTTGAGCCAGTTGCATATCAATAGATCACAATTGGTATAAAAACCATGTGTGATCTTTGTCAAATGCACAATAATGAGATTTGTTCCCCTGTGTTTTCTATGCCAACAAAACACGAGGCAGATACACAACAGAGTGACGAGGATGTTAGAGCTTCTGAGAAGTAATGGAGTCGGGTGGTCCAAATCCACAGGCAGGAAGTGTTGCAGGAGCTGATGAAAATGTTTTTACATCCGCATGCTCATTAACATAAACAAGTCCATAAATCAGCAGCAGGTTCGGAGTCATCCAAAGTCCTGACACCTCGTAAAGCAGATGCGCTTCATGACGTTTCTGGCTCACCAGCGACGGCTCTTTGAAATTGTGCCAACGACCAGGCGGCAGAAGGGGATGATAACCTGGACACGTGCTGGGTCAACACAATGCACAGACTTTTCTAAACCCCTCGCATCATTGCTTTAGAGAGTTTATGCAACCAGAAATGAACTCTCGGCGCATAACAAAACAGTCCCGGTACGTCCTCTCTCCAGAGGAATGACGAGCCCAGTCAGCCCTTTGCTCTAATTACACAGGAAGGAGACAAATTGTCTTCTGTAAACTAACGAAGGCTCGTCTTTTGCAACGTTGGCCTATGCATTTAAATGACTCATTAAATGGTGGACTCACTGCGAGTAGTGGTGGATGGATGCGGCCAGGGCATTGCCAGAGCCACCTGGCAGCATGCCTAGAGGAGTCTGGATGGCCTGTTGCCAGTCTTCACGCTCCATCAGACCATTTATCACCTGAGTGAACAAGAGAGATGACCGAAATTTAGCTTTGGCTCAAAAATAAGAAGTTGTAGATCTGCAAGAGACAGAAACATGTTTGGTAATGTAGTGTGGCACAACCAGGGTGACCAGATGGTGCTGTGGCTGAGGACAAAAATACTTTCTGGATGACTGCAGATTTTTTTTTTTTTTTTCCCCAAGCAAGAGCCCCAGCACCTGATCTCCTTTATCATGTGTGAGACCAAATTAAAATTTTATATTTCTGTTCCAGGAAGTGCCATAAATAGAAGCTGGAGTTTTGGAGGTTGATCCAGCACCCACTGATTAACAGTTCTCGCCGTTAAAGAGCAGAGGCGGGCGGTGCCGCGTACCTCAAACAGCAGCCCGTCGCCAGACATGATGACCAGCGCGTCCCACTGCGTCAGGTCGGCGTTCCTCACCAGCTCCCGCGCGTGGTTCTGGTGCTCTGACGGACAGAAGAAACGCAAGCGTCAACTGCTGAGGCAAGGCCGAAAACGTGGGACAAAGTGACAAAAATGATGATTGAAAAGCAGCAAGGGCAGAGAGAGAGGCAGAGAGAGAGAGAAAGACATTTTCCCTTCATCACCGCAGGCTCTGGAGTGGGATCAGGGAGATTAGGCAGAAAAGGGATTCAATTTCCTCTTATCGGACCAGACATATCACATTAGCTCATCCAGTGGCTACTCAGCAGCTCTGAGGCAGCTTAGGCAGCCTGCAAACATCTGTGACCGAGAGCTCGGGGAGCATGTGGTCGCGTGTTGGTAAAATGTGCTACTGAAGGAGTGAGCTATTTGTTCAGCCTAGTTTTATTGGCAAGCGTCCTTGAGTCGGTCCCTGCACTGGCGGGGTCTCTGCGGGCTCATCCTGCCAGCATTAAAGTCTACAGTCCTGCCAGCCGAGACTCCCCAGTGTAGTCGCGTGTAGAAAATGGAAACAGCTTTAGAGAGGGAGACAGGGGGGGGGTGGGGAAGTGGAGGGGAAGGACAGCAGACACGCAGCTAAGAGGCACGGATGTGCTGCCACTATGATGGAAAATATACCTCCTGAAGTATTGATCGACTCTCCGCTTTTACTTTCCTCAATCTCTACATGCCCCCTCCCCCTCCCCTCTTACCCTGTCACCTCGCCCACCTCGCCCCTCCTGTGCTGTTTGTTTGCTGTCTGCCGGACGGACTGGAGGTGGTTATGCAGCGCTGCGTTGACAGGACCTGGAGTAACTGCACTGCACAGCTGACTCAGCATTTTTAGCCGGCCTGACCGAAGCTTTACTTTCCAGATACTTACTTATTGAAAAGGTCATCGGAAGACAAACGTATACAATCAGCGCAAAATACGACTATGACTTCTTTTAATTCCAGTTATGCTTTTCATATGGTTTTTTTTGGCATATTTATGAATATCTGCGGGTCAAAATCAGACCTCAACTTTAATGTATTTGCCGAGCAGTATTCATACAGTTTGAATGCAAAGCAAAGGTAAAATAAATTACATTTTCCTAAGTTTTCTGCTGCAAAAACCAATATTTTTGGGAACTGCCTGATACTTTAGTCCAGAGATCTTTCATGTAAAGAATGGCTGACATACAGAAAGACGGACAGGTCATCCAGCAAACCTCCGCCAGCAGCCAAGATGATCAAAATATTTATCTATTCCAGTAATCAAAAAAGTGAAATATATAGAGTTTCATTGCTGACAGAGGTACTGTACATATATATCGTGCTTTCTTCTGTTAATTTTGATAACCGGCTTAATGAAGACTGAAAACTGTAAAGATGTTCTGAGAAAATATGATTTATCACATAAACCCGAAAACAACACCATCGTCTGCTACCTGAAATGTGTATCTATGTACATTACAGTATCGCAGGGCTCCTTCTGCATGAATCAAATCTGAAGGCAAAGGCTGTCGGTCTAATCATTCATGAGATGCAAACACTCTGTGCCAAAACAAAAATAAAACCACCTAAAATCTGGGTCAAATTCCCGTCCTTTCTTTTTAAAAGCCGCGGTTTGTTTTATATGTTAATGCCGTCTGCCTTTTTCCCAGGTTATCCCAGGTAAAGACTAAAACTGGTTCACTCAGTGCTTCATACAGTATGTAAAATGTACAGGCCGACACGACAGGAGGTTCCTTGACGACGGAGCCTGTCCATCCTCAAGCAAAAGAAGTTTTGAAACACTCATCAAAAAGGCGCACGCCGAGTAAAGTGGACTGCAGCTGGTTGACCCGGTGCATGGCGGATCACCCCACTCGGAGGCCTCAGTGCCCCGTATAATCTTCCCCTTCCTTCCTTTACGTCCGTCTCTGTTCCTCTTCGTTGGCCTCAGTAATTAGGCTCCGTGTTTTCATCTCCCATCCAGTTGCTGACCCTCCTTCAGGTCCCGGGAGCCCGTTAAGTATGCGCGAGCGTGCCAGCGTGCTTTCTCAAAGAGACAAAACCACACAAGCGGAGTTTCTGCTCCAGCGCTCTGCTGCATTCGCTGTCATAATCCATCTCAACTGTGAGCTGCAGCAGAGATTCAGCTGCATAATGCCGAGCTGATCCAAAAGGAGACAGCATATTCATACCTGTCAAACTGCTGGTCGGCCTTAGCCAACGGGGTAAGAATGCGGGGCGCAGAGGGAAAAAATACAACTCCTCTCAAAGTTATTACGTTTTTTCCCCCCACATTTTGTCACACTGCAACCACTGGAATGGACCCACACAAGCGGATATCTTTGCGGTGGAAACAGAATGATACATTAAAGCAGACATCTGGTTGATTAATTAAATGGATTCAAATCAATCCATTATGGTTAACCAGAAACAAGCACGTGTTTCCATAAGGGCAAATAAAAATAATTTAATAGAGTCTGTGTTCAGTGTAATGAAGATATCTGAATATACAGACTATACATCTTGTTGTCCTGATCTGTTTTTGTCATTAATATACGTTTTCTTTACCAGCTCAAGAAAAACACAAATAAGGTCAGTAAAACACATATTTGGAAACAAACAACCTCTAAAGATCAACGGCTCGAGGTCCAAACCGGCTTTGACATCTGAAAACAATTTAAAACATGTTCATTTCCCCTCGTGACGTAAAAGGTCTGGATAGCTTTGAAGGTTGTTTTATGTTTGTGCTATTATTTTTATAAGCCTCTTGTATAATACAATCTTGCTGACTGATTTTCATTTTTAATTTTGACATTAATTACATACATGCACACAAGGCTCTGATTGTTGAAAACCCATGGCGCTTATATACCGCTGATGAAGTTCTTTGGTCTTAAAAGTACGGTTCCACTTTCGTCCATTGTGATTTCGAATAAAAGGCCTCTCCAAACCGAGCTCCCGGTCCAAATTTCACCCTGTTGAGAACTATATATTGTTTTTCTGCAACTTCATGCTTCTGTGTTGGTTTGTCACATAAAATCTCATTAGAATCCAGTGAATATTGACATGACATTGGGTAAATGATGAAATGTGAGCCATTTGGTATCCAGACATGGCATTAAGGCTGTACAGAGTAACAGCTTCCATTTGGTGAAAATAGCCTAGAATAACAGTAACATGCACAATGCTGGTAAAGGTCACCGAGAAGCTTTAGCAATATGCGTGCTGAATGCGCAGCAGATGGCACGAGTAGAATGAGAATTTAATGCTCATGTTGTCTGTGAGCACACAAACAATGCATAATTCCTGCAGAGATTAAAACTTGCGTCCAAGCGGCGCGGGTTCGGCTCATGTTGGTGCGTGGCGCAACTCGCAGCGTGACCCAGTTCTCAGACCGATCACGCTGCCATGTAGCGGGACGTTTAATCCTCCGTTTCATACCAAGAAGACAAACGGGACGCGTTGCGGGGGAACGTGTTTGTGACTGACCTGTGATGACGAGCGTGTAGGGAACGGAGGCCTCGGTGAGCATGGCCCGTATGTGGCCGGTGAACAGCTGGAGAGCCTGTCCCCGTCCGCTGTGGGGGTTCACCAGGATCATGGTTCTGCAAGGTCTCCTCAGCTTCGTGTACGTCACACCTAGCAGGCAGAAACAGGATGATGTGAGTCAGGATAAAGAGGATGAGAGGAATGTCTTAAAGAATAAAGAAGAAGAAGAAGAGCCATCCCCTTCTCTGAAAACATGCATAGAAATGCAGCGTAAGGGAGAAAAAAAATCGTAAGGACTCCGCATCTGTCGGCTGGGCGAGCATCGAGACTGACGGTGCTCAATTTTAATGTGACGCTGCAAACAGAGAAGGCTTACACATGCATTTTATTTAGGGTCTTACCAATTATTTATGATCAATGCCGGGAACTTTTTATTCCATGACTACAGCAAACGGCTGCTTGCATGCTGCAAGTTTCGAAGAAACACAAATCAATGGGAGGAAAAAAAAAATAAATAAATAAATAAAAAATATATATATATATATATATATATATATATATATATATATATATATATATATATATATATATATATATATATATATATATATATGTATATACAACCTGTTCAGTCTGTGTGGTGACCTATTAAACACTCACAGTTTTAATCGTTTTAAACTTTATTGCCCAGATGAATATATTGTCCTGGAGATATCTGGACATTTGGTTGATTGATGATTTTGCAGTAGCCGTTTTACGAGTTATGCAGACAAACAGACATCTACCTTACCAGAGGGGTACGTTGTATTCTCTTTTCTACCTTAAAACACTGGCTAAGATCAATATTTTAATATTGTTATGAAGGTTCACTAAATGTGGATCACTGCACACTTGAGGTGGTTGAGATGAAAACGGACTTGGCAGTGTTGTCTGAGCCTTTCAGCTAAAAACTAATGGACCACTTGGACCCTCTTCAGTTGTGGCCAGTGCTGCAGTGTAATGCTGAATTATACCACAAGGGTCATTCCTTGCTACAACAGTTTGGGATCAATTATATCCACCGCATGTACACATTAACAGCATCAGTGCCGACGGTAGTAAATCAGCTGCAACTTCATTGAATCTCAGCATCGCTGAGGTTCAAACCGAGCATCAGATTTTGACAGAAAGGGGGCTAAAAGGAATCTTGAAGTGATAGGTTTATGGGAAACTGCTGATATGCTGTTTTTCATTCTTGTGGTCAGAGGTTCGAAATGAAGGAAGGGCAAGTGAACCTCAAACACCTTTACCTCAAAGGTATGCAAAATACCATCTCTGAGCACATAGCACGTTGAAACCTGAAGCCAGTGGGCTACAGCAGTAGAAGACCAAACCAGTGCCACTGCTACTTCAGCTCCAACATTCACATGGCATTAAATTTGCCCTCAGCATGAATTAATATCCATCCTCCCTCGCGTCAACAACGGAGGCACCTGGATGTAAGGATGTTTTATTGACACAATTTAGGCGACTTAGTACTAACGCATCATTTAAACACCACAACCTCCCTGAGTACAGTGAATGAACATGTTCATCCCTGACTCTAACTGCAGCGAACTATCCTTTGGTGACTAATTCCACCATGTCACAAATCATCCAACATTTCTTTCTCGTGCGTGAGGATGAGCTCGCTGTACTGCAACGGCCTCCCGGTAGAGCACGTTTGTTGAATGAGAAATGTGCATGGCGGATATGCAATAGGCAAAGCACCTGGGTGACACCTGGTCACACCAACGTGGATCAAAAATCTCAGAGGAATGTGTCAAAGACCATGTCGCAACTATGCTCCAAAGATGAAGGCAGCTCTGAAGAATGAGTCCAATCAGTACTTGAAAAGGTTTTCTAATGAAGTGACTGGTGAGTGTATGTACTCTGTAGCAGCATGAGTCAGCCCACAGGCGTCAATGCTGAGTGACATCTCTGGGTTTCGGTGTTTACTGGAATGAAAAATATTCCATTCCAGTGTTTGTGAATATGTGTGAGTCTGCCCGTTGTTTAGTCTTAAAAAAAAAAACAACAACAACAACATACCGACTCCAGACTCGGGTGAATTTGATTGATCATCTTTAACAAACT